TCTCATATTAATATGCAATTGATAGACTTTGAATTAAATGCTAATTGACTGGGTTTCATGGTGACACCTAGAAGGGGTTTCATGACCTTGGCCCTTAACCCAAAGATTTGATTTGGAATGTTGGATTTAGATTGGATTTGGGAGTTGGAATGATTGATGTTGAATATTTCATATCAATCATAACCATAAAGATGGTTAAAATTGATTGAGCATGATTGAGGGCTGGATAGGTGTTGATTGGGATCTTTATGGACGACAAGTGTACAACTGTCCTCCATTGGATCACCAGTCTAGAGATTGGAAAAAGTCTTGATGACCTCATACAAAAATGAGGTCAACATGTACATATGCAAGTAAATGCAGAGATGCACATGAATTATGTTCCTTATAACTCTCAAATTTCACCTCTCACTTGCTTAAGACCAGTGTATAGCAAAGCCAAAGCAGAGTAGAACATATTTTCAATACAAAGCTAATTTAGAGCAAGAACATAGCAGAGTAATCCCAAACAAAGATATCTACCTTGAGCGCAAACAAAAAAATCTAGAGTGCACCCTTTTTTTCACAACAGAGCTCCACAATATTATGAAATACATGATAATGCAAATGTATAATTGAAGAGTTTCAAGCAAGTAAAGACTAAGGACAGGATTTTATAAAAATCCCCACTGTTCAGGTGTGTGTAAAAAAACTTAACAAAATTTTATAAAATTTATAGAGGTTGTATAAAGTACTAAATTAACATACTTTGTTAAATGTATTGAGGTTCAAAAATACCACCATTTTTTAGAATATGCAGAAATTCATACAGAGCAAACCACTCGATGAAATTTTACTTTCGTACTGTCAAATCATCTAAAATAAAGAATATAATATAATACTAAAAGTTATATGGTGAAACTTTGCTGAAACTTAAGAAAAAAACTTTAAAATACATATCTTTTTTGACACAATTTTCTCGACACGCCCTAATATACTCTATTTGTTCACTTGTATCGGTTTGGGGTACGGTCAATTCACTGGGATGATAACCCTCCCATTTTGAAGTTTTTTCCTGGAAGTTTCCATCATCATTGACTATGACAACAGATGCGACCAACTATCAAGATATATACTTTAGAATTGAAATTATAAATAGAGTTTGGGTTGCCTACCTCGAGCATGATAACTTTCTCAACTAGCTGAATGGACGATTTTTGGATCGCAGACTCCAAAACCCCTCTTCTTCTTTCTCTTTCCTTCTCTTTCCTCATTTCCTTCTCCGACAAGCTAAAAGCATAGGGTTTTTGGTTAATGGAATTAGTTATTTTATATTTAAAAATCACTAATTCACCCTAGTGTCTTTTATATTTTAAAATCACTAATTTGTCTTAGTGTCGCGGTTTATACCACTATATTCTTAGAGAATTGTCCTGATTCTACTAGCTATAATTCTCTAGATTCCATCCTAGTGTTGTGGCGGCAATGCACGTAGTAACGCTCCCCAAAAAAATAATTTTTTTTTCCTATTTTCTTGAGAGCACATGTGCCAAGGCACCTCAAACCATGACACAGTGGCACTCGTAGAGGAAAAATCCAAATTTTGAAATTCACTTCCTCAACCAAGTTCCTTGGCCACTCTCTATTCCATCTAGCACAATAACACTTCTAATTACTAATTAACTCAAATTTACAGTCATTAATATATAACTACCTAAATTTCAAACAACATATATTATATTTTATTTATGACGGGTTCGTTTGATAGCTCGAAGACACTCATTAGATATGTTCGTGAACGAGCACTTTGATTGCTTGAAAACATTGGTTAGAAATGCTCACGAATAGGCCCTATGATAATTATTTGTTAGTAGGATTGTTTATTAAACTAATGAACATCTAGAAAGTAAAGCTCATTAATAGCTCGATAAAGTTTGTTTTCTTAAAGCTCAATAAGTACAAAACAAACATATCATAAACTAAGCATGAACATATATAATTTTAAATAAATCAAGTTTGAATATAATCATAAAAGCTCGAATAAAGCACAAACTGAGCTCAAGCAAATTGATAATAAACGAGCTTAAACATGAGCAAGCACCTACTTGACTCGATATAATTTGTTTGCAACTCTACCAGCCATAAGCACTACAATTGCGTGCAAGTTCTGCATTATCTGCAGAGATAATTAGATAAGTGTTACTTTAATTACTCATTAAATAATTATTTGTTAAATTAATACTTAAATATTTAATGAGATAAAATAATGCGGCTCTGTGGAGTTTTCTGAGTATCGCATCTGGTCGCAGGCCGTCGGAGGAATGCAGCATGGGAGAGTTTATGGTTTAGGTGCGCAAGCTCAGGTATACGAGGGGATGACCTACTCTACTGCATCCAGCTTCGCATCAAGTTCTCATGATTCCTTGCAAACTCAACAAATAAGTGCCCAACAAGTTGAGCTAGAACAAGTAAGAAAATCACAAGATGATTGGCAAGCTCAGTTGCAAGCACAGGTTCAAATGCAGATGCAGGAGAAACTCAATATGTTGTTGAATGAAATGCACAAAATGAGAGAGCAGATGAGTGGAAAAGAGGTAGCTCCAGCTGAGGAGGAGTCCACGGATTCAGAGTAGTTTAGTTTCTTTTATGAACTTGTTTATTTTCTTTGAATCTGTAATATTGAACAATATCTGATGTTTTTAGTTGGTTGTAACTATTGAACAGTTTATTTTAATGAGTATTTATGTTTTTGTGCATCTTTGAATTGCTATAAACTGTTCTGGAAATGTTATAAACTTTTGTGCATAGATATTTGTATAGGTTTGCAGGTGTGGAAATCTGATTGTTGGCTGGGAAGACAAAATTTTTTTTTTTTGTCAATGCTACAGGTTTCTGGCGGATTTTGTGCCGGCGCCGGAAACGACGATACAACGAACCGTATCGATCTAACCGGCGTCTCTTAGTACGCCGGAAATTACCGTCGTACTTTTCGGCGTCGTATCCGCCGGTCATTCTCGGCGCATATTTTGCGACGTAACCATCCCGCAGGTTATTTACGACGTATCAACGGCGTTTTATCCGCCGGTAATTACCGACGCAATCATACGACGAAAATTACCGGCGCATATGTCGCCGGATTTAGCGGTCGAAATGTCGACGGCTGCCATCAGTTTTTGCGCCGGTAATGCGTCGGAAATAGCGCCGGAAAGGTTTCCGGCGCAACTTATGCGCCAAAAGACTTTTACCGACGCGATCCAAACCGGCGCAGAGAATTCCGCCGAAACCTGCGCCGGAAACCTATAATTTAAAATAAAAATCTAAATAAATAATCACATAATTAAGTATATTTAGTAATTAGCATTTCCAATTATGTAATCGCCATAAATCATGATTTGTGTTGCCAAGTAGTTTCACAAGATTTAAGTCTTGTTGCCAAACAATTTTCATGACTTAAGGGGCTGTTAGGTTTGTTGCAAAAGAAGTGTAAAGTACTCACATTGTAGGGATTTTAGAAATATTTGTGTTTGGTTTGAAGTAAAAATAATATAAAGTAAAATTTTGAAGTAAAAAGAATTCACCATCTAGTTGAAATATAGTATATTTGAAATTCCTCAAATTTGGATGATATCCAAATACACTGAAAACTCACCAGCATAGCCACTGCCGACCACCACCTTCGTCGACGAACAACTCCAGCCACCCCCGACAACCACCAACCCCTGACCGCTTTCAACCACCCCTAGCCACCGTCGATTGCCAACCACCATCAGCCATTGTCGACTGCTACAGGCTATCTCGGTCACAACCTTTTTGCACTTTACCTTACATTCATTTTACTTAAAAAAAAAAAAATCTCATGCATTGCTTTTACAATCATCAAAATTACTCTAACATATTCTTTTTTCAGAGCAACCAAATAACACCTAATTAATACTCTCTAGGACTATTTGGCTACAAGTAGAATTTAACTCAGATAGGATTTAATAAATCCTATAAACCCGAATTTAGTAATTCTTAAGAGAGTTAAATCCCGAAAGTTATGTCATAATAGGGGTTATATATGATGAAATCTTGATAAACTGTTTGACTACTTATTTCATAATTTAAATATGTTAACTTAAGTAATACTTTAATAATATGAATTTATTTATTAATATTTAAATTGATTAATTTTAATTATAAGACTACTTTATGTGTATGTAATTTATATGATTAAATATTACTAATTTTAACTACAATTTTGTATTAGTCCTAATTAGATTAAATAAATCATATTTATTATATATAAATCTCAATTAATACTCATTTAAAAATTGTTATTTAATATTTGACTTCTAACTTAAAGCCTTAACATCAATTATAGGGCCTCAAAAAATTATTATTAATATTATTTTTTTTATTATCCAATTGGTTAGTTGTTTTTCCTACATTATGTACTATTGTTGTAGTCTGTAAAGGAAGTAAAAAAAAGAAGAGAAAATGTAGTATAATGTTGTTCAGAGAGGGTAGGCCATATTTTCCTCTTCCATTGTCCGTCTATTTCTATAATATCTCTTCTCTTTGATTCTTGCCTATGATCTTCCTGTAGCCTGCTTGTCTAGGGTTTGCTTTTCGTCTTCTCCAATTCTTCTCTTTCATTGTCTTCATGTGAAGTAGAGTTTGAAAGAGCCTCTATAGTAAGCTTTTTCACCTCCTACCAAAATTCTGCTTAAACCAGCAAACAAACAGGCCCTCAGGTTTAAATAAATTTGAATATACAGGATGTGATAAATCGTACTTGAGTTTAATCCTATTTGCAGCCAAACAACCCCTTAGTAAATCCAACATATTAAATCCTGAAAACTATTTAACATTATGGAACTTCATCTGATTAAATCTTAGTATTTAATAGAATACTTTTTAAGATTTAGGATTAGGATTTAAATAAGTAGTAATATATATCTCTTAAATCTACTTTCTCTTTAGATTTTACTCAATCCAGGAAAAAGGGATTCAGGAATGCAATAGAAGAAGACAAAATCTCATGAAAAGAGCAAGAGAATGCCAAGCAAGAATTTCATAATCTTCAGCAAGTATAAAACTGTAAGGAGTCAATATCCAAGCATATCAGAATATTAACAAGTACCAGTCAAGCCTGCCTAAGCAGTCAGTCCAGCAAACTTTTCACACAGTAGGTGCCTACAAGGAACCAGCCGATCAGAAGAACTGAGAAAGAAGCCATCCCAATGAGAAATGGCCAGCCGGCCATCAATATTCCAATGCAAACCACAAAAGCAAAGGGGAAGAATGATCGGAAGACAGACATGCCATCAATCCATTGTCCCTTCCAAAGAATCAGTACTGCCAGGTTCAGTAAATTCCACCTGACATGGCCATTGTATGCAAGCTGGTTGAGGCACTTGGAAACGAAGGAGTGGCAGTTGCATGTGAACAGGTTATAGTATTTGTGTTGGTATTTCTGCGTGCAAATGTCAAGCGCATAATCCCAAGAGATTGCCGTTCCACCCTCGGCGTGCTGGTAGGGCTGCCGGCATGTGTGGCTAGACAGATTCGCTGGAAAGCAGCACTGTGCAGTGATTACAAGATCACAAATAAATGAGGAACAAGATAGATTTCGTGATTCAAATGCCAGTTCCCTAAGATTGACTGTTATAGAAACCAAATATAATTTGCTAATATTGTTGCTGATATTATGATGACTAGTATATATTGTTCATGCCTACGATACTACATCAAAATCTTCAAAAATTCTAGGAGCAATATCAAAACTGCAGCTTTTTAGCAAATTTCCTATCTACTTCTGACATGATTGTCAAAAACTAACATAAGAAGAGAAAAATCATACATGATAGGGTAATCTTTCGAGCAATAACATTAATGTAATTTAAATATTAGGAAGTTATTTGAATAAATTAAATGTAAAAAAATATGTGCAATATATGTAAATACATAAAAATTCAGTGGTATGTAGGTAAATTCATTATTATAAAAAAAAAAATCCATATTAGCAGCACATATTTACAAAAAGTTCAGAAGTTCAAGCATACCATGCTGAGTGCAGATTATTACATATCACTTGGATACTTAACGAAATATTTGAATTATTAGTTCCAGATGTTTTATGTCTTCTGCAATCAGCACAAATGTTAAAGAATCAAACTGGATGTCCACAAACCATATAGGGAAAGGTGTTAGCTATTGTTGCTATAGCGTCAATAAGCCACTAGCAAGATTCCTGCACACTTCCACTTCGTTTCATGTACTTCCCAAAGAATCATTCTTACTAATTCGATTTAGAAACTACAACTAAAATTCCATTTAAGCACTTAAATTAAAACCATTATTGCAACAAGAAATTATAATTAAGATTCTAATATTGTCCAGCTGAATTTAAGAAATGTATTTGTATTTAATGTAAAAATTAGAAATGGAAGTGAGTAATGAAACAAATATATACATGGCTGGTGATTTGAAATGTGCGACGTGGATTTCAGAAGGCATGCCAAAATACTTGCTTAGAAAAATAAAAAACTATAAAATATTAGAGAGAGTAGGCATTGAAGAAAAAATATCTGGAAATTGCAGCATGTTTAGTTTACTTGATTTCTGAATTATTTTTTTGCTCTTAGGCTATTTAACTAAGTAGTTTAACAATGGTGATAAAAACAAGGAGAATGAAAGTTGCCTACAAATAAATTTATAGTTTGAAGAAAATGAAATCCACGCATCTCATAGCAAGTTCAGAATTAAAAAGAAATAAAAAAATAGAGAAAAGAGATGGCCCTTGGGTGCCTATTCCACCTGTTTCCTGTCGAGTTGAAACATATTTGGCAACTGCACCATATGCAAATTATCAATGTTTACAAATTTGAACCAGCAAATCAAAACTGCCCCGTCCTCAAGGCAAATTCCAACATGGCCGATGTAAGGAGCCAGCCATTGAGATAATTGGAAGGGGAGTCCAAACTATGCAGCAAGGAAACCTTCCCTTCTTTGGATTCATTTCACAAGCGGCCACAGATCATGAGCGACCTACTGAAATTCCCATCTTCACAATCAACACTAGCAGCTTTAAGCTCCATCAAGGAAACTGGTCCAGGATATCAAACTCTCTAACAAATTACTCAACATGAATATGCAATACAGTCCAAGATGCTGCTTAAGCATGGAACAAACACTTGGCACTGAAAGAACAAATAAACATAAGAAATTAATTAATCAAACGCACTGAAGATTCCATATCCTGAACGAACATAAGAAGAATTGGTTGATTACAAGCTTTAAAACAGTATTACTTCAGAACATGAAGACAGTCTACAAATCAAGAGTGAATTTTCCTTCTAAATCCATTGGGCAGGTTATTGCAGTATAATAAAAAAATAGAACCACGTATTGGCACAATCGTCACTCTTTGCAGTTTTGGCAAATTCAACGTGTTTAATGAATCTTGCAGTATGCCGACCACAAATTTGCAAATGAAAATTAATAAAGTGCACCTAACTGTTCTTTGGGACATAAACTCATTACTGCACACCAAAAAATGCATTGGACATCAAGTCGCAAATTTATAAAGTAGGGCCATGGATTCAGTAAAAGGAAGGAATTCCTAACATAGACCCAAAAATAACATATAAATCTCACAAGATACTTTAGCAAAATATATTTTAAATGTACAAGTAATAATGAAAGAATTCACATAACAATCTAGATTATCATCACAATTCGCCACCATCATGTTTTGCCTTATCCAAGTTACTTGAGCAGCATTATGAATTGTTCATTAACACTTAACACGGTTGACCGCCCGTGGTTAAAATTGAAGCATTCATAAGTTCATCTGCACTTCTGGCATATTATCTTGGTCGTCCTTTTCTCTTTCATATTAGTTTCATGGTGGTTCTACCCATGATTTAGAAGGCCAAAATTAAAAATTATGTATTCACTAATTAATGTATACTCAAAATTTTTATATATAATTATAAATCCCTTACATAATGTTAATTTACATAATTCTAATTTCTCGCTTTAAAATCCTTGTCGCCTAATATGTGAATGTGAGCTGTCAATAGCATTCTTGAGGTGCATTAATTTGAAAATCAATGACAAGTCCATCCATGACAAATTAAGAGGATAGAAATAAAAAATTGAACCTTGATAATACATCATTCATAATGTCTTCATTTTCTAATATGAATAGTTGACCTCTATATATATTTCACAGTCGATGCAAGTGAAGGCAATGAGAAAGATGACCAACCACACAACGTCACTCATCATCATACGATGAGCATTGAAGCACCTTGCTCATCGTTGAAATCACACAAACTTTGTCCTTTTGCAAAACAGATTGCACCGATACATTCAAGACCACTAAATTTATAAGAAGAGCACCTCGTAGACGACTAGATCAAACAGTGATGAAATTGTTGGACAACAGGTGCGATGTCATGCAAAATAGCCGAACATCATCCACTCAGAAATTGACTGCGTCTTGCCTTCGAAACATCAAATTTCAAAAAAAGAATCTCTCACCATCAATTTAAGTGAATGTGGTCGAAAGCAACGTCTACAAACGTGATGTTGGGCAAAGTCGCCAAAATGTCATCTGATTACAAAATGAACTTTGTCGTTGCATTCAAAACATCAAAAAAAATACCTAAATAGGACACCCCATATTGATTAGATTGTCGAGCGATGTGAAAAGGAGAAATTCGCCAGCACGCGAGCAATGATCTGAAAAATTGAGATGCTGTGGAACGGAAATTGTGCGAAGATTGATTCACATCTCTTTTGTTCTTTTCAAAATATTTTTAAAATAATATTATATATATATATATATATATATAATATAATATAATATAATAAAAAAATTCAAAAAAATCTTATCCTTTTAAATCTCACTATCCTGCCAAATTTTTTAAAATTTGACCTAGAATCCTGATCATGTCGCTTTGCTAGCTGCTTAGTTAGAAAAAAAGAATAATATAATAATAAAAAAAACTGCAACCTAATATTTAATAAGCACGCATCTCTAGCCCACATGCCAAACCCCGAGCACTCCACCATTCCTCCCCCCTCTCCCACATCTCTTTTGTTAATTTTAAATATTATTTTAATTAGATTTTATAATTTTAATATATGTATGTATGTGTGTGTGTGTGTGTGTATATATATATATATATCATTAAAAAATTCTTATCCTATTAAAACTCCATATTTTGCAAAATCTTGAAAATTCGACCTAGCACCCTGCTCATGTCGCTCTGCCAGCCGCCCAGTAAAAAAAAAAGGATAATATAATGACTAAAAAAAACTACTACATAATATTTAATATATACACTCATCTCTAGCCCACATGCCAAAACTCGAGCACTCCACCATTCCTCCTCTCCCAATTCACATAACTCTTCTCTCGCCCAACCTCTTATGGATCCAACCCTTCCTCCAACCATCCATTAGAACAAGGTCGAGCCTACCTCAGCCTAGCCTCTCCAATAGCCAACCCACATAACTGCCTAAACGTAGAAGTAAACATCGGAGTTGTTCTAAGGAGTCAAGCAAGAACAATACTCTCCCATGCTATCAAGATTGGCTTTCAAATAATCAACAATCACACCGAGCATGAGGCGATGCTCGTAAGATTGAGATTTAGTGTAGGAGTTGGTGTAAACAATTGACAGTGTACTATCAATTTGTTCCAAATCATACAAATGGGTAATATCTGGCAAGATAAAAGTTTTTGCAAAAATATTTACTTTAAGTTGAGATGGGAAATTTGAATACTTAAAAATTGAGCACATTCCAAGTGATAAGAATCAATTTGTCGGCCTTCTCTCTAAAATGGTGAATCATGGTGGAAGACCTGACTTGGAGCTCAATCACAATATAATATCAAAGCAGATGTGTCTTCTCATTTATGGCAAGTTATTCAAAAATCCGATGACTACTACATACTCGGCGTAAGTGAAAGAATATGAAGTCATCGATATTCTAAAGTAAGTTCACTCGAGCAACGTGATAGTCACTCTAGAGGAAGACTTCCAGCAAATAGAATCTTGAGGCAGGGATGTCTCTGGTCTACATTTAAAAGGTGTATTCAATATCAAAACTCACATCAATGCAACTTAAACCATCACACAAGCTACACCTAATTTCAAGTCCAAGGATTTTCCTACTTGAAGCATGGATCTAATTGATCTATTCCCTCACATGGCGTTGAAAAAGTTTATCTTGAGAAAATGTGATAGTCACTCTAGAGGAAGAATTCCAGCAAATAGAATCTCGAGGCAGGGATGTCTCTGGTCTACATTTAAAAGGTGTATTCAATATCAGAATTCACATCAATGCAACTTCAACCATCACACAAGCTACACCTAATTTTAAGTCCAAGAATTTTCCTACTTGAGGCATTGATCTATTCCCTCACATGGCGTTGAAAAAGTTTATCTTGGTCATGATAAACTATTTCAAAAAAATAGATTAAGGAAAAGGAGTTTGCAAAGTCTGCAAGGTTTTGAGAACAATTGACAGTGTTATATCAATATTCCGCCCATGCTAACCATTTGGCCCACATCTTTGGTGTATCTAATACAAAGCAACGAAGATAATTCTCCACACTGCGATTCACCGCCTTTGTTAGACAAATTTGGGGGTGGTAAGCTGTACTCCTCTTCAGGATAGTCCCCTGCATCTTGAATAACTCCCTCCATAAGTGGCTCAAAAATACCTTATCCCGATTGAACATAATGGACTCGGGTATGCCATGCAAATGAACCACCTCTCTAATGAATGCGACTGCCACCGACACCGCGATAAGGGTGGCATAAGGGAACGAAATGAGCATATTTACTCAATTTGTCCACCACCACTAGAATCACAGTAAACCCGTTTGATCTAGGTAGTCCCGCAATGAAGTCCATAGTCACCTCTTCTCACACCTTCTCGAGTAATGCTAAAGGCTGTAGAAGACCACCTAAAGCCATAGCTAGATATTTATGTCTCTGACACACATCACAACTGGCCACCAACTCCTCTACATCCTTCCACATGTCCACCCAATATAACTCTGCTACAGTCTATGATATGTCTTATAAACTCTTGAATGCCCCCAATAGCTGTACCATGAAACCCCTGCAACAAATGAGGGATGTGTGGCAATTTCGTCGAAAGAACAAATCATCCCTGGTATAGCAGCTTCTGACCCATCAAAGAATAACTAGGATGGCTATCCTTGTCCTGCAGCAAGTCCCCTCTGATCTTACTCAGCTCCTCATCCTGCTCGCACTCAGGCTTCAAGGCCTCCCACTCCACCACCATGGGAATAGATAGAGCCATAACATGAGGGTCTTCACTACGCCTAGAGAGAGCATCTGCTGCTTTATTTTCTAACCCGGGCTTGTCCTGAATCTCGAAGTCATAATCCAACAACTTAGAAAGCCACCGCTGTTGCTCCTCTGTCACTATCCTCTGCTCTAACAGGAACTTCAAACTTCTTTGGTTGGTCCTAACTATGAAGTGTCTTCCCAATAGATAAGGTCGCCACTTCTGTATTGCCAACACTATTGCCATCAGCTCTTTTTCATACACTGATTTAAGCCTAGCCTTAGCGGTCAAAACCTGGCTGAAATAAGCTATGGGTCTCTAACTCTGCATAAGAATTGCTCCTAACACAAAACTTGATGCATCGGTCTCCAGTACAAACGGCTAGCTAAAATCTGGTAGTGCTAACACATGGGCACTCGACATGGCTCTCTTCAACTGTTCAAATGCCTGGGTGGTTGCCACCCCTAATTTGAAACTACCTTCTTCAGTTGCTCTATTAATGGTCATGCTATAGAACTGTATCCCCTCACAAACTTCTTGTAGTATACTGTGAGACCCAAGAACCCTTTCAACTCATTCAGGTGTTAACCGCGAAATCTCTGGGTAGTGTCTTATCTACAAACCCATCTGCCTTCCAAAATTTACCTTGGAACTTAGTTCGTTAAAACTCCCTCGTCGAATAAGAAGAGCGAGTGGAGGCCGGGGCCGAATTTTCGGAGCCCACATCAGGGTTTTGGATAAGGGCCACTCCAACATAGCCTCTATCTTGGAAAGATCTACAACTACTCCTGATTTGGATACCACATGTCCCAAATACTCCACCCTTTGTTGTGAAAATGAACACTTCTTCAAATTGGCATAC